GGCCTAAAAGATTATTATAAATAATAAGTTTATAGTACACTCAACCAACTTTAACACTTGTCATTGAAATGAGTTTGACGACAAACGTGTATTTTAAGTTTCCATTAACTGGGTTATACTAACATTTTTTTCATGTAGCTTAGCTTTTGAAAATGTTCCTTAATGTTAGAAAGTTAGGGAAATGGCTCATGTTGCATATTTGGATGTTCGTATACTATTTAACTAAGAGGGCAACACTTAAAAGTGTGCTAAGCCACTGTTGCTGAACAACTGGTCTGTGAGATTCTGATAATGTATATACACTGAAGGATTACTCAACGTAGGTATCTTCACAGACATTAGAAACAGTTTAGTTTGTTTTTTTTTTAATCTTTGTTGGTGTGCCTGCGAAACACGTCTCTGGGAAAAGTTATATGACCTGAAACATTCTCATCTGTAAACTATATATAAACTTAAGATAATGACTTTTTATGAACCAAGGCCCTGGCCCTAACTGAGACAAATGCTTGTTTTTTTATCATTATTCCTTAGAAGAAATTTATATGTTCTAAAGTAGACACAGGCCCTACCGTGCTCACACTTCATACCCCTACAGAGAGTCTAATACTGTGAGGGCTACCTGGTAAATATCTGACTGAAGTCTAAATAAATGATTGTGACTGATCAGAGATGTGGTCCTAGATAAACTTAATTTTTCATGTAACTGAAGTTTTGCCTTTCAGAACCTTTATGAACGGATTTTGACGAACAAATGCCTTTTTAGAATGAATGCTGACACATGGGAATTAGGATGAAAACTCAAGGCTTAAGAGGTAAGTCAGTCCATGGGAAGCTCCTGATGTTACAGTGCGCTGTGTACTAGTTTGTCTCTCTCAGAGCTGTAGTGAGATGATGGTGGGACCTCCCATGTGACGTATCATGTCTGCCTTGATCCAGAACTAAAAACCTTCACCTCTGTTCTAACTCAGCCCGAAAAGCTGCTACGTTATCAGTCTTTACCATCTGAGTATCAGTCAGAAGAGCAGTTCTGTGGCCTTAGCCAGCAGTCTGCAGTTGCCAGTTTTCTCCCTGTAAAGGACAACCTTGGCATAGTCGTGTCCTTGCTCTGGTGTTTTGAGATGTGCTCATTCAGAAGTTATTCTAGAAGTCAGCAGATAATATATCCGTGATCAAAACAAAAGGCTGCAGGTTTGCAGTAGTTGAGAAATTCAGCGTTTGCATAATAACTTTATGTGACCCACCAAAAGCTGACACATTCTCTTTTAAATGGAAGGGGATAGAAGGTGGGGTTAGCAGGACTACTGAACAAAAGCTTAGCCGTGTAAGTGAACGCACAGGTGGTCTGCTGTGAGATCTTAGGTCGTTTCATCTCTTCATAAGCAAATTTGAAAAACACTCTTGGCAGCTGCAGGATGATGACTGAATACTGTCATTCCAAATTGTATTTTATGGTTCCTTATTGCAAAAGCAACCAGTTCTGGTTCCTTACTCTCCTTAGATTTAGAAGTATGTGATATACCAATTTGTGCTTAGATTGGTTGATTTGTCAAGTATTTTCAAACCAATTTCATCAGCTGAAGCAAACTGTTTA